AAAACCGAATCTTGCGAAGCCTACCAATATTGCGTTAGGCATATTCGGAGGTTGCTATATTCTCAGAAACTGGATTTCGTTCTTTTCTGAAAATCGCATCTTTACTCCATTTCGCAAAAAAAAAAATTTCAAGATCACAGTTTGTAAAAGCCAAAACTTTGCGGCACCTAGCCTAGATCTCGTTCATAATACTCTTCTGACATATCCTACTCATCATAAATCGACAGATATATACAAAAAAAAGAAAAGGAAGTAGTCCTCTTTTATTTTTTATTTTTTATTTTATCTGTTGATTAGGGCCGGAGGAAAGTATTGTTCGGTTGGTTACCTACCTACGTTTTCCCTCCCACCCACCCCTTGCATGCATTCCGGTTCGGTACAGTGCCACGTCAGCAGCACCACGTCACAGTGCCAGATCAGCAGTGCCACGTCAGAAGTGCCATGTCACAGTGCCAGGTCACAGTGCCACATCAGCAGCGCCACGTCACAGTGCCAGATCAGCAGTGCCAGGTCAGCAGTGATGTCAGACACAGTGCCACGTAAGCAGTGCCACATCAGCAGTGCCATGTCAGACAGTGCCACGTAAGCAGGGCCGCATCAGCAGTGCCACGTCAGACACAGTGCCACGTCACACACAGTGCCACGTCAGACAAAGTGCCACGTCAGCAACATGACGGGCTTGCCAGGCCAACTGCCCAACGAGTCCCTTGCAGCCTACAAGCAGCGGTTCCAGGATCAGATAGAGGCTGAGGAACAACGCCAGCTGGCAGCCGAGGCTGCCCGCGTACAGGCTGAAGAGGCAGCAGCAGCAGAACAACTGCAGCTACAGGCCGATGCAGACGCAGATGCCCAGGCTCGCCGCAAGGAAGCCCAGGATCTGCTGCAGCGGCATGAAGCCAACAGCATCGACAGATTCAAGTACTGGCATTTTGAACCGAACGGCGACGAGGCAACACCAGAAGAGAAGCACAAGGAGTTCCTCTCCAAACTCGTGACGCGGTTGTTGTATGCTTGCAACTACAAACGGTCAGAGTTGGAGAGACAGTACCAGGACCTGACGCAACAGCATCAGGAGTTCGCACAGCTCCGCCGCATGGTGCAGAGCCACGAGGATGCAACTCGGGCACTCAATGCCCGATTGCTGGACCTGGAACAGGCTGTACCAGGACCAGCTGCTGGGGCTTTCAGCAGTGCACCCTCTAGCCGCCAACTGGAGGACCGCATTGACCACGTAGTGGCAATGCTCGGCGACATCAGCACTTTCACTGCGCCGACCACCACTATCAGCAGTCAGCTGCATACATTGAAGACCGAGGTCCAGCAGCTGCAGACGACGAACGCGGATGGCAACCCGAAGATGTATAAGATGCCAACTTTCAATCTGGAGAGGTTCAACGACTACACGCAGCAGGATCCGGTCCTCTGGTGGGAAGCATTCACAACGCAACTCAGAATTCTGCCTGTAGCCAAGCATGCGTACATCGGCGCCCTGTTCCTGAACTCAAAGGGCGGATGCCAGACCTGGTTATGCCACCTGGCAACCTCCCACGACGTCGACGTACCAGACTTGAAGGACCAAATCACATGGGAGGAACTGACACGGCTGTGGAAGAAGCGGTTCATCATCAACGACGTGCCGGCACTCGCCATCAACCGTTTGTTCACCATGTCACAGGGCAACACTGCAACAAGGGATTGGCTCACGGAGTGGCAGAAGATTGCGGCAGTGCCCAATCTGGAGCTGCCTTTCACTCATCTCAGACGTGAGTTCTACGACAGGTCCTGTGCTGCATTGAGCCAGGCTCTTGGTGAATGCGAGCAATACTCAACCTTTGCTGAGATTATTGACAAAGCAAGGGAGATCATCAAGACCAACAGGTCAGCTGCACACGAGAAATCACCATGGCATCCGACCTATGTGGAGAAGGTACGAACTGGTCCGCGACAGCAGCACTTCGCTGCAGTCCAGCAGGACAGTGGAGATAACCCAGCAGCCACTCCAGCATCAAGTGACGGAGATCAGGTGGCTGTTGTCCAGCCACGAAGCAACAACAAGTCCCGCAACAATAGGAAGGCGAAATCCGCATCGCAGGCCGGAAATGGACAGCCAGAACAATTTCCATGGGTCAAGTTTGGCTTGACCGAGGCGGAGTACAAGGTCCGCGGCCGCTACGGCAGCTGCTCTTGGTCCAACAGCACCAAGCACAAGACCTCCATGTGCCAAGATCAGGGCAAGGAGGATGTGCGACCCCGCCTCAGCTCGAGAAACTGAGCTCCGCAGAAGGTGAGGCGACTCCACCTTCTACTCCGCCAGATTCGGCCGCCTTCCTAGCGGCCTCCTGCACATCTAGGGAGGATGCGAATGTCGCATGTCCTCGGTATACTTACGAGGATTATGCTGTCCACTTGGTTCCACCGCTGGACCAACCGCTCCACGTGCAACAGTCCACCGCATGCACGGTTTCATCACCATCGACAACCGATTCGGCAGCTTCGCCGCCATCTATCGCCGGGGATTCGACGTCATGGTCAAGACTTGAAGAGCTCGACCCATTGACGTTCACGGACTTCCAGTGGATGCCCGTTCCCTCGACCGGACGATTGCCGGAACCGCATTGCAACGTGCTTATGGCACAATTGCGGGACTACTTGCACACTGCAGTACCAGCTCCGTCGATGGACGCCGGAGCAGAGGTTGTCGACCTTCACGTTTACATCGCAAAGATCGACCGCGAGTTCAAGACGCAACGGTACGACGACATCGACGCACCATTGCTATACATACGCATTCAGATCGGAGAGGCGACCTGCAGTGCCTTGATCGATTGCGGAGCAACTCGCAACTACATCAGCCAGGACTTCATGGTATGCGCCGGCCTTGGCCCACGTGTCCGGAGGAAGTCCCAACCTACGCAAGTCACTCTGGCAGACGGTCATACGCACAAGTCCATCGACCGGTGCATTGACGTCGTCCCAGTGTACTTTGCCCCTCACGCAAGTGAGGCGGTGTCCTTTGACATTCTGGACACCAAATTCGACATGATCTTGGGCATGTCATGGYTGCGAAGCAAGGATCACCCGGTGAACTTCTTCAACCGCACCGTTCACRTYCGTGAYCRGAACGGMGTATTAGTTYCRYGCACGGTGCCTCTTCCTCATCCTTCGATCAGCTGCCACGTGGTATCCGCCGCAAGCATGCGAGCTTCCATCATCAGAGACGACATCGAGGAGATGGGGGTGTGTTTTCTCCACGCCCTCCCGCCCCATGACGCTTCATCGACGGACTCACCTTCGGATCCACGCATCACCGAACTTCTCGACGCCTACAGCGACGTGTTCAAAGGCTCGCACGGAGTAGTACCAGATCGACCCATCCGCCACGAGATCATCCTCGAGGACGGGGCCGTACCTCCGCGTGATTGCATCTACCAAATGAGCGAGGAAGAGTTAAGTGTGCTTCGGGCACAACTCGACGACCTTCAAGAGAAAGGCTGGATTCGGCCTAGCTCATCGCCATACGGTGCTCGTGTTCTCTTCGTCCGGAAGAAGAACAAGGACCTGCGGTTGTGCATCGATTATCGCAAGCTCAACGCGCACACAATCAGGAACGCCGGCCCTCTCCCACGCATCGACGACCTTCTCGAGCGATTGGGCGGCGCCCAGTTCTTCTCTAAGCTGGATCTCAAGTCAGGGTACCACCAACTCGAGATTCGCAAGAAGGATCGCTACACGACCGCGTTCAAGTCACGGTATGAGTATTTTGAATGGCTGGTCATGGCATTTGGCCTTACGAATGTCGCAGCCACTTTCCAAGCGGCTATGACGACGGAGTTCCGACACATGCTGGATCGTTTCGTACTTATCTACCTCGACGACATTCTGGTTTACAGCCAGAGTCTGGACGAGCATGTGAAACACCTGCGCACCATTTTGGAGCGGCTACGACAGGCCAAGTACAAAGCAAACCGCGACAAGTGCGAGTTCGCACAGCAGGAGCTGGAGTACTTGGGACACTATGTGACGCCGCACGGCATCCGTCCGCTTGCGGACAAGATCGAGGCCCTACGAGTATGGCCCGAGCCCACCAACACCACGGACGTTCGTTCATTCATGGGGTTGGCGGGCTACTATCAGCGATTCATCACCGGATACTCAAGGATTGCTGCACCTATGACGAGGTTACAGTCGCCAAAGRTGCCATTCGTATTCGATGACGACGCACGCAGGTCATTCCAAGCACTTAAGACGACCATGCTCATGGCACCCGTCCTCAACATCTATGACCCCACCTTGCCGACGACAGTGACTACGGACGCTTCCGACTATGGCATTGGGGCAGTCTAGAAACAGCACGACGGCGACGACTGGCACCCTGTGGAGTGTTTCAGCCACAAAGTGCCTCCCATCAACTCGCTTGATGATGCAAGGAAGAAGGAGCTACTCGCATTCGTCATGGCTCTCAAGCGATGGTGGCACTTCCTCCTTGGGCGTCGTAGGTTCACATGGGTTACGGACAACAATCCATTGACCTACTACAAGACGCAGGATACGGTGAGCAGCACGATCGRACGATGGATGTACTTCATCGACCAGTTTGACTTCACACCGAAACATCTTCCCGGMMTCTCAAATCGCGCAGCARATGCACTCTCGCGAAGACCAGATCTTTGCGCTATGACACATCATGCCTTCGCRTTCGACGAGGAGCTTCAGCGACACTTCATCCGGGCATATCAGTCTGATCCGGACTTCGCCACGCTGTACGCACAGCTATCTTCGGATTACCCGCCGGCCAGCCACTATCGCATTGCCAACGGATACTTGCTCCTCCACTCGAGAGGCAAGGACTTATTGTGTGTCCCACGTGACCGTAGTATTCGGACTCGCCTCCTTGGCGAGTATCATGATTCACGACTCGCCGGCCATTTCGGAGTCGACCGCACTATCGCACGGCTTCGACAGCGATTCCGATGGCCCGACCTCGTTACCGATGTCACTCGGTATTGCGACTCTTGCGAAGTTTGCCGACGCAGCAAGCCCTGCAACCGCAATCCCTACAGCGAGTTACACCCGATGCCTATCCCACGGGAACCCGGTGTCTCCATTGCCATGGACGTCACCGGGCCGTTTCCTCGCGACTGGCTTGGGCACAACGACATCCTTACAGTTGTGGACCGATTGAGTAAGTACGCGCGTTTTCTCCCTTGCAAGTACAACTCCACGGCTCCCGAGCTGGCACGCCTCCTGCACACTGGTTGGATTTGTGGCCACGGTGTACCAGAAGAAATTGTCAGCGACCGCGACACTCGTTTCATGTCGGCATTTTGGACTGCTCTCATGCAGGACAGGCGGGCAGACGGAGCGGGCACATCAAACCGCTCAAATGATGCTTCGTACACTCATCTGCCCGGACCAGAAAGATTGGGTTGACCGCCTCCCCGACATCGAGTTCGCCTACAACACTTCGGTGCATCCGGCGATCGGCGTGACTCCATTTGAGTTGCACCACGGTGGACGGAAAGGCCGGATCTTCGCAGACCTTCTCCTCCCTCGATCAGCCGACATTGACGCTGCCTGCTCTCCCGCTTCCGTCCGGAAGTACAGGGAATTGCCTGACTCAAGCCCGCGCAAATATGCAAAAGGCTCAAGTCCGCATGTAGCAGCAAGCCAACAGGCGTCACGTACCATGTCCCATCCGCGCCGGTGATCTGGTTTGGGTCTCCGCGGAAGAGTTTGCACTGGAACAGGATGTTTCACGCAAACTGCTTCCCAAGTGGTTTGGACCTTGGTCKGTGACAGCAGCCGCGGGCGATGAGCCCGATGGCCCTTCATTTGTGATCAACATTCCAGAGCATCTGACGGTCCATCCGGTCTTCCACGCCTCGAAGCTGGCAACATACACGCCAGTCAAGAGCGACGACTTTCCGGACCGACGATCGCAGGACCCTCTTCCTATGGATGGCCATCAGGAAGTTGACCGCGTCCTCTCCGATCGCAAGTACGGCAGCAAGCCGCGGGAGTACAAAGTCACATTCAAAGCATGCGATCGCGACGACACTCGGTGGATTTCAGGCGCAGATTTGAAAGCATCCACACCGCTGATCTACGCACATTATGAAAAGCGCAGGTTAGCTCAGGAAGCTTCACGACCAGCCCCTCCCACCCGGACTGTGGTCCGTCCCTCAGACAGACAGCTTCGCCCTCGTTGGTAAGCTCGATTCTTCAAGGAGGGGGGGGTGTGGCATACTGCGTAGCCACACGGGCCCTGCAGGGCCCGTCCCGAACATTCAGCCTAAAAGCCTAAAACTTAGGGCTTACAGGCCCCGTTCGTTTCAGCCTGGAAGCTGAAAAACGAGGGCCTGCAGGCCCTACCCCGTTTCAGCCTATTTCTGGGTCTTTTCAGACCCAGAGTTTTCAGCCTGAAACGGAG